TTTATGCAGTAGAGTCATTTGCAAATTCAACATTGTTTTTGCATTTTCCTCTTAGGCATCCTGGCCGCCCAAAAACACATCAATTGTTTGTTGTCAAAAATGCATTTAATTGAAATTTCCTTCACCCCTTTGACTGCAAAGCCAATACAATCCCACTAGGTTTTAGTGTTTTGCTGACATTAAAACCCATCCAGGACCCAGCTGGCTACATATAGCAACAGACACCACCATAATATTATCCAGATATGTCAACAGCCTAGTTGCATGCATTCTTGTCTGCCAATTAGGGGTGTGAAACCACAATGTAAAGCTGGACTATATGTTATAAGCCTGCTAAGACAGAGATTCATAAACTTCTTGTAATAGCTCCGTGTGAACATACAGCACATTTTTGTCTTGGAATGTGATGTTGGGAACTTGTCCACACAAACTGATCTAAATAAAGAAAGCTTTCTAGAGGAGGGAAATAAGTTTGAGGCACATGGATCAACATGGAGTGGATTTGCTGTACTCTAGCCAAGTCAACTTGTACAACCGCTCTGGTGGGCGGGTTCTTTGTCTCTCCGAAATAAACTTCTTTCCTACTCACTCCCGGTCTTCTACAACCTCTCATACCAGTATCACACTGACCTCATGGATTAGCTAACATGGTTACAACACAACATCGGAAGTGAGCGAGAATATTATTGATGCCAATATCTGAGGGAGTTTGTTACTGAGTGTAAGAATGCCCTGCATGAGTGTCCTCTCTGTCGATGGGCATCGTCCGTGAGGAATGAAATATGACACTGGCTGTCAGGGCTTGTTTGGGAGACTGGCTGCTAGTCAGCTGGAGATGGAGATGGTAGAAGGGCTAGCAGGGCGGATGAATGGTTAGAGAGATTGTCCTGTACCGAGGAGGTCACAGGATGGATGTTAGTGCCACATAAACAGTGTTTATCAAACTCAATAAACTCTACACGTGTGTCCTCGACAAGAGAGGTCCGCTCAATAATAATGAACTTCAAGAATCTGTCTATAATTTGTGAGACACACGGGTCTTTTAACAGCTGTTTCAACTACATCTGGACTGCAGATTGTACATGCTGCAATCCAGAAACTGTAGGGCGTTTTCGAAGATTTTTTGTCACCATAGCTGCTTAGCAGCTTTCTTGGTTGGCAAGTAAATGTCCCATTTGACCTCTGTTGTTAGAGCATGTTGGTTTGCTTTCGCTGGCATAATGTCCCTTTAAGAGCCATATTTTTTTCAAAGAGCCCTTGTGCAAGTCATTTGCCAGGTTGCAAAGTTTAACTGAATTTTGAGAAAATTGGAAAAGAAAACCATTATGCATATATTAGGAGTTGGTTCATTGAGATCCAACAGCTGGTGGTGGCAATTTCCCAGTCGGGCGCCATTAAACCACTGCAGAAGAGGGCACAACAAGATGATGTAATTAAATGAAAGCCAGTCAAACCTCAAATGGTAAAAAACGATGTAGAAAACATGATGGAAATATGGCATGTTTGTTTCACGTTACATGATGTTGGGATTTATTCAATAAGTCAGTTCAATTTCTCTTTGTCAGATTTTGCTTTTATTGATAAACACATTTTATACATACAGGAGGATGGAAGCCAACCTATTGGCACCTGGCCTGTTGGTCTTGGAGGAAAAAAAAGTGCCATGCCATGAAGCAGGATGTGTGTTTGAAGTGTGTATGTGTGGGTCGGCTCCACATGCAGGTCAATGGGCTGTTTGGTTCCTCTGACGTATGTGAATTAGATAAGGTCGCTCTCACAGTCAAGGCTTAATCATGTACTAAAGCACAGTTCTGCCAGCTCCTATTAGACACCTGTAGTGCAAAAGGCCTCAGACGGGACAAGCAGCAGGGGACAAAGACGCATCCTGAGTCCTCTAACACCTGTGACCATGGCAATAGGCCGCACTGTGCTTACCTGACACTAAACCAGAATGTACGCAGACATACAAAAGATATCCACATCACCACCAGTTGACACCAATCCACAAACAAATCCAGAATATACTCCAAACATTGTTCCAATACAATTATTTCCCAAAAGGAAGCTGCAACCAAAATGGCGTGTCTTGATTTCAGTGGAGCGCAGAGTGGTTCTGTGGTTTCAGGACTTTGACTGTGCACCTAACCAGAATTGACGTTGGGAAATATACTTAACGTTCCCGCGTAGAGCACGGACGTGGATTGGGTTTCCCGGTGGTTGGAAAAGCAAGAAGTGGCTAAACATATGACACACACACACACACACACACACACCACACACACACACACCACACACCACACACACACCACACACACACACACACACACTCAGAATTCATAATTCATGTGAACACAGAAGGAGTACACTACAATTAAAACTGAGATTTAAATACATTGTATTTTCATAGCTTATGCAAGTAAACACAGACACAAACCCAACCTGCTGTTTTGTGATTAAGGTCATTTCAATTACTCCATCAGTGATTAGACTCAGCCCAATCTGGCCTGATGGAGACTTGTACAGGAAAAGTACATCTCGACTGTAATTCACTTTGTCAACCTCCATTTGGCCTGAGCCAAGAAACACATAATCTAAGTCTAAATGGGCAAAGACATTGGGGCAAGGAATTCATTAATGTTTGCAGTTCATGCCACATATATACTGTATATCTTTCTGCACATTCTTTGCACAAAGGTGAAGTTAATTGACACTCACCACCTCTGAGGCTTGCCTTAAAGCAATAATCAATATAAGTTACCGTTAATACATTGGGAAAAGGTAGAAAGACACATTTTAAAGGGTTATTTTTGGTAGATAATTTTTCTTTTCACCTGTCACTGGCACAAAAGGCAACATCTGCCACTGCCTGTTGGAGCTGTACATTGTGAAACACTGCAAGTTGATATGCGTAAAACAAATTCCTGCATATTTATTGCTTTGTAATCAATCGGACTGAACCAGCAAAGGGGATGTATTACGCTCTACTTCTACAGGATCTCAGGTTACTAAATCTCAATCCAAGAAGAGAGCTGACTGAACACGGGCATGAGCTGCAAACATACCTGTTACCTAGAGGAATCTATAAACAATTAAAAAAAAACTTAAATCTAATTTGGTTTGAGTCAAAGCTAGCCCTATCATTAACCAAGAGCAAGCCCATTGATCTAAAAAGCCTACATGTTGGCTGAGATTCTCCTCAAAATCCAACATCATCAGCATATTATAATATTATTAATGTGTCGTTTTTATTATGTATCATGAACCTGAGGTCTTATGAGACAGCGATTGGAATGTGCCAGTATAAAAAAAACTGGAGTGCAGTTTCATGTGAGCTTTAATTCCTTTTCATAAAAGAATGTTTTCACATCCAGACATGGGAAATCTGTGGTTCCTGCTTCTCCCTGGCATGTGGAGGCTGAGGCGACACTGAAAGGAGGCAGGTTTGGAACAGATCCATACTTAATGGAAGTCTGGATATTTCTAGATTATTATCTATGGCTGTAAATATAGAAAAAATACATTATAACCAAATCAGGGCAGGACTTTCAATATAGCCTGCAGACATGAAGAATCAGGGTTTGGTTGTAACAGAATTATTGAGATCAATTTAACTAAATTATATTCAAAATAGCTCTGTTATTGATAAATGTACATCAAAGGCAAGTCATGCTACCTTTTGCTGATGCAAGCTGGTAATGACTGCAAGGGCAACTGGCAGACAAGATGCCAACTACAAGCTGGGCTACTCCCATATCCACAAGCCACGGGCGAGACATGAGATATATATATATATATATATATATATATAGTCACATCTTAAGTTAGCCAAA